GCATCTGCTGGTGAAGACTGAGGCACAGAAGTCATTGGGAACCTCAGCCTTCTCCACATCCAGAGTAGCCAGTTCTCCCATTTCCTTACAGAGAGGGCCCACATTATCCCTAGTCTGTCTTTTGTTAGCAACATACCTATAGAATCCCTTTCTGTTATCCCTGACATCTGTGGTCAGACTCAATTGTGACTGAGTCTCAGCTTTCCTAATCTGGTCCCTATCTTCCCGGACAATGTCCCTGTATTCTTCCCAGGCTGCCTGTCCTCATTGCCACCTTCTATAAGCCTTTTTTTTGTGGCTTGTTGGTTCCTTACCCATCTATGGAGGTCTCCTGGCCCTCTTGCCCCGTTTCCTTCTTGGGGGACAACTCTCCTGAGCTTGTAGCAGGTGATCCTTGAATATCAATCAAGAGTCTTGGGCCCCCCTGCCCTGTACGGCTATATCCCATGGAACCTCACTGAGCAGGTTCCTGAAGAGGCCAAAGTCTGCTCTCTTGAAGTCCAGGGCACTGAGCTTGCTGGACACTCTTCTCACTGTCCTGAGGATCTTCAACTCGACCATCTCATGATTGCTGCATCCAAAGCTGCCGTGAAGCATCACATTTCCAACAAGCCCTTCCTTGTTGGTGAGCATGGGTCAAGCATGGCACCTCTCCTTGTCAGCTCCTCTATTACTTGCAGATGGAAGTTGTCTTCCACACAATTGAGGAACCTCCTGGATCGCTTGTGCTGGGCCGTACCGTCATTCCAACAGATGTCAGGGTGGTTGAAGTCCCCCATGAGACCAAGGGCCTGTGATCATGAGGTTTTTCCTATCTGTCTATAGAGCATTCCATCCACAGAGTCTTCTTGATCAGGTGGTCTGTGACAGATCCCCACAGTAATGTTTCCCATTGCTGTTCTCCCTTTGACCCTGACCCACAAGCTCTCTGTTAACTGATCACCTGTCCCCAGACAGAGTTCCATACTCTCCAGCCTGTCACTGGCACAAATATCAACTCCCGCTCCCCACCTGCCAGGCCTGTCTTTTCTAAAGAGCCTGTAACCTTCCATTCCAACACTCCAGTCACAGGAGCCATCCCACCATGTTTCTATGATACCAATTATGTCATACCCCCACAGACATGCACACATTTCTAATTCCTCTTGTTTATTCCTCATACTACAAGAGTTTGTAATAGAGGCAAATACTAATTTGTATAAGGGTAAATTGTAATGAGCTTACTGTTTTTAATCATCCAGGAACTGGAATACAAATATGTTAAAGATGAAACAATGTTTCCAGGAAAGGTTTATGTACGATTTGTTAGAGTATCAGGCCCTGGAATCTAGCTGTGCTCCTTTACGGACAGCATATAGAAGATTCATCCGGGATAGGATCCGTTGTTATACTTTGTTGGCAGCAATCATAGAATGGTTTGGGTTTGAAGGAACCTTTAAAGGTTATCTAGCCCAAGGCCTCTGCAATAAGCAGGGCAATTATAGCAAGGCTACTAACCGGAGGTGGTGCCAGAGGGTTTTCTGCTAAGCTCTTGTACTAAGTTTCTCCTTTTGTTTAAGAAAAGCAGCATCATCTTTCAGATACATGGATGAAAGGAACAGAATTGAGTTCACAGTTCACATTATTCAGACGTGGTTTCAATCTTTATTACCCAGAAGTAGATTGCAAAATATACTGTGATTTCCATGTTCCTTTGCTTACAAAGCTTTTTGCAAACTCTTCAATATTGACAACATTGTGGTAGTTGTCACTAACCAAAGTCAAACCAGTCCTAACACTTCTGATCAGCTTAGTGCCAGCCTACCTCATCAACTCATTGTGGTTCACAACGTGGATGTTTCCTGAAAATAAGATCCAGCAGCCATAACAATAAATACATGTTAAAGAGATCTGTACAAAGCACAGCTGCTTAAAAGAAGTATCCCAGCTTTTGCTCAAGAGCTGCATGGTTTAAGCATATAGGAGAGTTTGATGCTCCCCCTTTGCCACTACTTTTGCCTCCATAGAGCATCCTTATAAGACACAGCTCCATTAAGACAAGCACCTCTTCATTTCTGTCTGTAGAACTGAATGAAGTCTATACTTCATATTGAAAATTGAATACTATGTTGAAAACAATATTGTGGCCTGGAGCATATAGCTTGTGCCATTTGAAAAGGGAATGCTGAGTCTGAAGTTTCTAAGGAACAAAAAATATCCTTCTCAATGCTTAGCAGGGGAATTTTGGGCAACCACTTGAGATTTCATGTGAACTGGATATTCCACTGGCCAAAAATTACTTTTCTTGTTTTTGAAGATGAGTGTGGGTATGTGAGCTGGGGCCAGGATCAAAGTCATAGACATGATCAACTGAGTCAAAGGGAGGAAAACTCCATAGTGTAGTTTTGACCTTTGGAGGAATTTTAGCAATTTATTATCATTGCCCTCTGGATTTTACTCTGCATTCACTAAGAAATCTTATCAGAATATATTCCTTTAGTGCCAGAGAAAGTCAAATATGGGTATCAACTTAGTAGTTTCAGTAAAAAAATCTGTATAAAATGATCAAATTACATTCCTCTCTTTTTCCATTCATATTGTCATGCCTTTGTTTTCATTGTTCCCATTCAGATTTTCAGTCTTGTCTCTACATCCTCACTGGAACTATTATAACTCACCAAAAGCCATGATGCTTTTCAGACGTCTGATCTTACTGCTTTCACCACCTCCACCCTCAAAGGTTTGTTCAGCTTCATTTTCATAATCGCACAGCACTGTGTAAAAACTTGCTTTGCTCTCCTGCAGGCTGGTCTGGGAAATCCATTTACTGACAAGATCTGAACTGCTGTTGAAATGCCATGCTTCTTCCTCATTGTCAGAACCAAATGGTTAAGCTGCACACGTTGATTGCACCAAGGCTGCGCAACCTGTCCGCTAGCAAGATCATGGAAATAAAGGACAGTTTCTAGTACAGATCCTTGCAGATAGGTGCTTGATCATTCTAATTCAGATCCTTGCTGATCCCCACAAGCATTCCATGACTCTGCATTCAGCATCACAAGCAAAAATGTTTCTCTGAGTTTTTCTATGTATTTATGGTGTGTGTAATGCTCTTCTCACACTAAACCATTTGGTCAGGAAAGATTTACTCTTATTTGATATTTAATAATTATGATCACTATCTGATGGGGCTTTGATTATGTTTCCCCTTCTTTTTGCTCTATCCTTCTTGTCTGAGTAATAGGCATATTTATAAAGCCCCAATTCCTACATTATGTGAGGAGTACTCTGAGCTATAAAAAGAGAGCAGATCACACGAGACTGATCCAGGGATCTAAATGCTGATGTGAGATACTGTTCCATTCTTTGTTCCATTCTCTCCTCTATGTCCACCTGCTTCTAGGTAGGCTATGTGAAGAAGTGAGCATAGCACGAGATTGTGGAAGGCAAATTTCTTTACAGCATTAACTGTGAAACACTGTGGTGGCTACATAATGAGTGAAATTTGACCCAGCTGTAATGCTGGATTTTTGTTTCTGCATCCAGGAAATGGAGATACTGATGCTGATATTGTTTATTAGCTCCTTTCTCATAAGGAAAGTAATTGCAAAGTAATTGCAATTTGTCACCCATTAAGAAGTGGCTACTCAGTTCTCTGATAAAAGTAATTATCTTTCATTTACATGTAATAAGTCTTTTTACTGTAGTTTGCATATCCATCCTTATGGTGTCGTAAAGATCGTCTTCAGCTGTGACATCAAAAAGGTAAATTGTAAATGTCAGTGAAAAGATCTGTAATTTTGGCAGTTAACTTTGCTAAAGCTTGTGCCTGATTCTTTGAGGTACTGAGAGCCCAAAGGTGGAAGAAGTCAGAGAAATGTAGCACCTGTGAAAATCAGAGCCGGGACGTGTCAAGCTGAGCCACAAATGAATAAGGAAGTAAAATTAAAAACCCTCTCCAGTAAGCCTAGCTCTGGGGAAGTCTGAAATTGCTCATTGTCTTCCTTACTTCCTTATGCTTATTTCTGGATCTACTTTGCTGATTTTTCAGATTATACTATACGTTAGCATGCTTTCTTCAAAGTAATTCTTCTGTCTTTTCTTTCATTGGATATTTTTGTCAGGATTTTTTTGTGGTGGTGTTGTGCTTTTGGTTTTGGTGTTTTGGTTTGTTTTTTTTTTGGGGATTTTTTTTTCTTTTAATTTACTGTTACGATCTGTATATAAAAGTCCAAACAATAGTTTGCTAGTTACTGGAACAGTAAGATACTTACTCTGAAACTGGGCTTTCTTTCGCATTATTTCAGGGCTTTTGGATTACTGTCAGTAATACAAGGTTCTCTGTACACATCAGGCACTGTCATGTGCAAAGTGAAATAGCAGCAGGAAGTCTTCATATTTAACCCATTCTGAAGCAAACTTTGATTTACCCACGCTGAGATTTCCAGTACCTCACATGGAGTTCCAGGTATCTGCTGGTCTTGAGGTTAAAGAACTCAGGAAATAAGTATCCTCAAAACAGTATGCAAAACAGAGTTGAAACAAAATCAGGGTTAGCAATATTGCAAGCCAGATCAGGAGTTAGTGCAGGCAGTTTAAAAGGTCTGCTTGTGCATGCTTATGAAGTTCTCCTGCATGTCAGATGCCAACTGCAATTGATTTTTTTTTATTCACGGGTACAGTTTCAGTGTGAAGTTGCTGTAAAAACTCTGTCCTGTCAGACTATTTGAGACTGCTTGCAAACTATGTATCCTGAAAGCCTCATGGCTGAAGTTCTGGAAATGTTTTATTTCCCTTCCTTGCCACAGGCCAGTGGTTCATATTCCATGTGTGTGCATGGGTTGTTTTAATCAAGATTTAGCTTGTTTCTAGTGGTAGCCTAGCATTTGTTTTTATTTTTGCTGGTTTTCAGCTGTGATGGGTTTTGAAGGCTAGCATGGCTCTAATCCACCTCAGCAGAAGAGGGCAGCTGTTGGAAGTTCTGACGCAATCCTACTTGTGTTTCAGATCCACCTGAGAAAATGATCCACATCCTCACAGTAATGCTCCTGAAAACACAGCTCTCCATGGTTTCAGGTGAGAGAGAAACTGCCTTTCAATTCCACCAGCAGAAACCGTGCAGCAAATACCACTACACCCTCAGTATGTGGGCTTCAGGACCTCCTGTGGCACTTGCTTGAACAGCCAGTGATGTCTGGAGCCTCTGCTCTGCAACATCTTACAGAAGGCAGTGTGTACTCACTGACCATAGGACAGGGGTCCATCACTTTCCAATTCTTTAAAGCACAGTGTGTTGACAGCTGGGGTGACCAGCATCAGCAGGCATCACTGTGAGAGGGAGGATGACAAGAGCAACTTAAGCCAGTTTTAAAGAAGGACAACTGCAGTGAGGCAAAGTAAACCGATGTGTATTCTCCTGTGCATGCCTGTAGTAGGAGCAGTGTGGCTAAAACCTAAGTTTCTGCTACAGTCCATAAAATGGGCTTGGCACTTTTGTATTGTCTTCCCCCTCACTATGGTTGTGTTGAAGTGAATAAACAAGCATTGCTAAAAAGAATTTAAGCTTCCCCTGCAAATATTTCACAAACATACGAAATATAAAGAATGCATAAACAGTTGTGTGAACTTCTCTTTTGAATGCCACTATGAACACTTCCAAGGGTTTCTGGATTATATCTATGTATGTATGGTACATCCAGTATAGAAAATAGTCACAAGGTATACTGACTGATGTATCACAGCTAACTCTCCTTGATCAAGCACTCTAAAATGGTAAATTATTCATAATAATATGAATTTCAGGTTTGGTGCATGGCTAAGAAGATTATTTTTGTATGCTTTCTGTAATACTGTTGCATGTATCTGAACAGATGCATGGGATCAAACGATATTCACACCAAGCTTCAGGAAGACTGTAATGGCTACACAACAATTCTTCCAAGTTACACATAATTATCCAGTGCAGCTCTGTTTCACAGGAGTTACGGTGGATGTTCCTGTTGTAAAGTGTAAGAAATTAGGTTTACTATTTCCACAATTAACAGCTGTTTTTACCAGAATCTCAAGACATATAAAAGATACAATCATAGTTTCATAGAATTGCTCCCTTGTGTAATCACTGGTTCAGCCTCAAGCTATTTCTAAAATGTGAAAAAGACTCTTTTTGCTCATTTTGTCCTTGCCTTTCAGACTCTGTAATCAATGCAGAATATACATGATTACTATTGATGTGGTAAACCTGTTAGTGTGAGTAGGGACCAAAAATGCTTAAAATTTTTAGTCAAGCCAGGAATCATACACCTGGATCCATGACACCTTTTTTGCCCAAATTTAAATAAAACCAGACTTTAACACAACAAATGAAATAGTTTTATTTTCCTGCTGTAGCTTTATTTACAGTTGAAGTTCCTAAACAGCTATACATTGTAAAGTATGGGAGCAACATGACCACGGAATGCAGATTCCCTGTGAATGGCTCATTAAACCTAGGACTTCTGACTGTCGTTTGGGAGCAAAAAAAGGCAGGTCCAGTCCAAATCAAAAGTGGCATACACACTCCACAATGGGAAAGCATTCATTCCATCCCAACATCATGATTACATAGAAAGAGCAGCACTTCTGCACTGTGACCTGAAACTGGGATGAGCTATCCTTCATATTACCAGTGTGAAGAACACAGATGCAGCATCATGCCTTTGTCTCATCAACTGCTGGGGTGTGGACTACAAGTACTTTACTTTGAAAGTAAAAGGTTAGTGGCTGAACTGAATGCAAACATAAATTAGTTGAGATATCTCTACTAAAATCCTACAAGCTTCTAGAAATTGATTAATTTGGAGGAACTTGTTGCTAATACTCTCACCAAAAGCCTGTGCTCAGCCCCCATGTGAACGAAAGCAGTTGTCTTAATGTGGACTGGTCTTCACCCATCAGTGAGCTGAGTCTCTCTAGGAGCAGAATGTGTCAGAGAGGAAGAGCAACTTCATCCCTGTCCCTTCTCCCCACACCCTCTTGTCCCATGCCCCCACAGCTGCCTTTCACCAGACCCCGTGCCCTCTTGGGCCATTCCGGCCCTTCCCAAGGTTTCTCAGAGATGCTTTAATTTACTGACGAGCCCTGCTGCTACTAGCCAAGTCCTTGGGAATTACCCAAGTGACTGCAACTCCCAGAGCAAGGACACGTGATTTTCTAGGTTCACCAATGCAAAATGGATATTATTAATAAAGGCCTACATTCCTGAAGAGCATGATAGAGCAGTCATTTGAAAGGCCTCTGGTGTTTCCCATTAACTGCAGTATGTCCATGTGATATACAGTATCACTCATTTCCTACCCAGGCACTTAAATAATGAGCTTTGCTAAATGCAAAAATGGATCCAGCCATTTTCAAGACCTACACTGGTTCCCCTGAACTGTCCTCACAGAAATTCTAAGTTCAGTTTGTTATAATATGATGAAAATCTCACACTAGTTTATAAGGTATGGTAAGAAAAGCATCAAAACCATCATGAAGTAGCTTATTCAAAAAGTGAAAATAGAGTCCATAAGACTTCACTTGTTTCCTCTGTATACATAAATAATAAATTCAGTGTTAACTGCTGCCTTGTATAAAGTATCAAGTTCTGTCACTGTAGGCATAAGAAGAATTGAATAATGAATACTAAATTGTTCTGCAAAACATCCTTCATCATTTCAAGTACGTGTACCTCTGATATAGTCATAGACAATATATGGCACTAAAGGGTAGGAGGGACAGTGAAGTGGGAAAGTTTATCATTGTATAAAGCAATTTCACCCAACTTCATAGAATCATTGTAGAATGGTTTAGGTTGGAAGGGACCCTAATGATCACTAGTTCCAACCCCCAGCCATAGGCAGGGACACCTTCCACTAGACCAGGTTGCTCAAATCCCCATCCAGCCTGGCCTTGAACACTGCCAGGGATGCAGCAGCCACAGCTTCTGTGGGCAACCTGTGCCAGGGCCTCACCACCCTCACAGTGAAGAATTGCTTCCTAATGTCTAATCTAAACCTCCCCTCTTTCAGTTTAAAGCCATTCCCCCTTGTTCTGTCAGTACAGGCCCCTATAAAAAGTCCCTCTCCAGAGATTTTTTATAGGTCCCCTTTAGGCACTGGAAGCTGCTCTAAGGTCTCCCTGGTCTTCTCTTCTCCAGGCTGAACAAGCCCAGCTCTCTCACCCTGTCACTTCTTCATATGCAGCCATCCTACAAGAGAATGAACACTATCATCCAGAGGGACCCTGAGCCATCCAGAGGGACCTTGACACACTTGTGAGGTGGGCTGATGTCAACCTCATGAATTTTAACCATGACAAGTGCAAGGTCCTACACCTGGGTGGGAGCAATCCAAGGCACAGCTACAGGTTGGGCAGAGAAGAGATTCAGAGCAGCCCTGCGGAGAAGGACTTGGGGGTGCTGGTCGATGAGAAAATGAACATGAGCCGGCTGCAGTGTGCGCTCACACCACAGAAAGCCAACTTTATCCTGGGCTGCATCAAAAGGAGCATGACCAGCAGGTCAAAGGAGGTGATCCTGCCCCTGTACTCTGCTCTCGTGAGACCTCACTTGGAGTATTGTGTGCAGTTCTGGTGTCCTCAACATAAAAAGGACATGGAACTGTTGGAACAGGTCCAGAGGGCCATGAGGATGATGAGAGGACTGGAGCACCTCCCATATGAAGATATAGGTTGCCCAGGGAGGTTGTGAATGCTCCATCCCTGGCAGTGTTCAAGGCCAGGTTGGACAAGGCCTTGGGTAATATGGTTTAGAGCGAGGTGTCCCTGCCCATGGCAGGGGGGTTGTAACTTGATTATCTTAAGGTCCTTTCCAACCCTAACTGTTCTATGATTCTATGATTCTATGACTCATTTAATGAAGAAAAAACAGATGAAGACAACTTTGTTTTTATCAGAAGCGTTTCCTCTGTCAGATGTTTTCTGGCAAAATGAGAACTTCAGTCTCAGTGTTTCTGCAAAACACCACCTATACGCCAACTGCAGACAGCCTCTATGATGTCACCAGCATCCTGACATTCACACCAAATATGAGTGAGAACTATTCTGGAACAAAAAAGTGAATGGAGAAACTTCAGCTCACATTTCCACTTCATGTCCTAGGACCCTTCCCTCGAAATCAGTTCTAGACAACAATGTATTACTGATGCCCTGGAAAAGAAGCAAGTCAGTATTATTTACGTCTTTGAAGCCTCAGCTAGCTTGCACTTTAACAAGCCAGTCTATCATTTTTCTGTATATTTTAGTTTTAGTGTAGCTCCACTATTTGGCTGCCAGTACAGAGGAAATGCTTCAACCTGCATAGGTGTCTTCCCTTACCTAGACTCCTAGTTAATTGTTCTTCTAATGGGATACAGATAAATTGCAGTAGTGTTCACTCAAATGCCATACGAATGTGAGATTTGACTCATTTTCTGTGAAGCTTCTTACAGGAATATTGCAGAATAAAGTATTCATAAAATGAGTGTAAAACACTATGCTGATAAATTTTAAGAATCTTCTGTTCAGTCAGAGCAAAACTCTGGAGAATGAGAACATAAATGATGCCTGTTTTGTAAGTTATAAATTTACTTTCTTGTCATGTTTTTGACAGCTTTAGTGAGTCCACAATATAGCAGACAAACATCCCTGATCTTATTTAGCATCACCACATGTGTGATGGTAGCTGTCCTTCCCTCTGCACTAATAATGTTTCAAAAGAGAAAACCATTCAAGAATAGGTAACTCCCAAAAGGTACATTTGATTTCAGATAGTGGATCTTTTCACTTATTCTTTGCTATTCCTGTGAACAACCTTTTGGAAATTTTAGTAACTTCAGGCACCCTTGTGTGACTTGTGTCATACTTCATTTCTAAATGCACTCTGTCTAAAATGACATCTTGGATCATTTGAGTTGGGTTTTATTTTCCTCACCTTGCTACTTATGTAAGACAAGTTATATGGGAAGATACATTTTTTTTTTTTATCTGACCAGTTACTATTCTGTAAAGAACACAAACAAGCTTCGGCTTCAGTAAGGAGGGCTGAAAAAAACACAGTTTGAATTGGTGGTTTTCTTCATGGCTACAAGGACATCGTAGCTACAGCATATGACAGAGAACTTTGATTTCTGATCTCCGTAAAGGCTGTGTAACTAAAACATTATGCTACCCTGGGCTATTACAGTGTTTCTTTCCTTGTTTGCAAGTGCATTAGTGGAAAAGTAATAAAGGAAACAGGCTATTATTATAGTCTTTTCTTACATATGAATAGGTTCCAATAAACTCAGACAAATTCATTGTCATTAAATGAAAGTCTTGCTATTAATGACTTCAGAATTTGATTCAAAATCTGTAAAAGAAGTGTAGAGAAGTTGGTGTGAGTTAATAACAGACTTGTATGTGCTCAAAGCTAACTTTTATCTAAGGTTTTTTTTTTTCGAATCTAGAAATGTTTAAGCTAAATATTTACTTTTAACAGATGTGAAAAGAAAACTGAACACTAACCTGAAAGATAAGAACAATAAGTCATATGGTTTTCTATATTTATACTTGCAGCTTTTTTTTTCTTACAGCTAAAATCTTTATAACTCTGTAGATGGCAAGTTAAATAATGGTACATCACCACAGAGGCTAGGTTTGGATTTATATAAGAATTTTCTTCATTTTTCTAAAAATGCAGTATCTAATGTCAGGATTTTCTTACGGATGATGTAAGAATTTATAAATGTTTGTTCCCTTTCACTGAGATAAGAGATAGTTTGCATACATAGCTTGGTATACACCCCTGTACACTAACTGCAGTTCTAGTAGCCTCAGCTGAATAGGATACACACAGAAAGCTGGCTGTTTTTGTGGCAATAGTCCGTGTTCTTTTGGCTCAGGCCACAGTTTTTGACAACAAATAAAATGACACCTCATTAATCTGGAATATTACATCACACACTAGGGCCTTCTCATCTCATGAGTATGTGACTTTCCTAGACATCCAGGAATTTTTACATTGCAGAGAAAAGGTAATGCCTGGAAAAGCATCAGATACAACTGTCCTGTTCTAAAACTGAATTGAAAAAAAAGAAACCACCATGGAAAACTAAACTGCAATATGATAACAAAGCTCCTAAGACACCTACTTATATAAATCAGTTTTGCTACATACAAATAAAGGTCTGATAGGTTAATGTATTGTCAGGAGAGAGGATGGGGCCAGTGTTAGGTACACTGGTATTACGTTCAGCTGTCAGGCAGACTCTTACACAGTGTATTGAGGCCAGCCCCGAGGCTGCCTGATGTGCTCTAGGAATATGAAAGATTCTTCCCTAAGGAGCAAAACTGTAGCAAAACTGTGATGTAGCTGACTGAGGGGCCTAAAGAAACAACACACAGCAGTTTCTGGACACAGAGGCAGCTTTGGCCTTTCCAAGGACAGGATTTACTTGAGAAGCCACCTGTGTTTCTGTATGTTAAAAAAAAAAAACAAACCCAGGAAGTCACCAGCTTAAAACATAAATTCTGTGGGTGAAATGAAAACTAGGGATTGGATGGAGAGCGCATGAATTCACTGATTCCAATAGCAGCTCAGACTGTAGTGGTTCTGTCTTACCTGTAGCTGTCCAACCCACTGACATCAGAAAATGTTACAGTCAAAATGACACTTTCATAAAAACACTTTCACCTTTCAGAAATCAGCCCTTGCTGCAATCAAAGTGCCCTTCTTGTTTTCACAAGATGTTATGAAACATCAGTGGAAATATGCCATGTGCAAATGAACAAAAGCCCAAAGCAATCAGTAATCTGGGTGACACTGCTTGTGCATGTCTGGACATAATTCCAGTGCTACTTGTGTGAGATCAGTGTAGCTTCCCATGGCTTCTTGTGCTACTGTTGGAGAATTTTTTCACTTTGTAGGCCCTAGCCTCCCCTGTGCAGTTACTGAAATTTAGAAATTAAAGGAGAGGTAACTGCTTTCTGTGGTTTTGTTTTACTTCTTCATTTTAATGATCGAAAATGAACTTAGTGCATGTTGCTTCTTTGTTTTGTGTAAAGAAGCAACATGTAGTAAGTCACATGACAAACACTTGTATTTCTCAGCATCATATATTTTTAAGAAACACTGGAAAGAACCTTTTTTCCATAATGAGTAGGCAGTTGAACATAAAAAGCCACAGATAAGTTACCAGAGAGCATTGGAAATGACCCACATGACCCTGGTTACAGGAACAAAGATTGTTCATGTTATCATTTTAACTTACAGCTCAAGATGTATCAGCACTGGAAAGGCAGGACATTTGACCTCATCACTGAAGTCCCACTTCTGCAAACCTCTATATAGATGCACAGATTTTACTGACAAGCATTTCCATGGATGCTATCTAACCAGATTTCAGTTTTGTTGTCTCATTTACATGGCTGATATGCAGTGATAGCTTTGATGCAATAAAAATTCAGAATTTGGACTACAGATTAGACAGAGAGTGAATTCTTCCCTCTGAAAAGGTTGTAGGAGCATGTCTGTAATTACTGGCAGTGTTAAGGAGCCATTGTAACCAGCATGGCCCAGAAAAGCTTGCATAAACTGAAAACAGGGCTTTCATTCCTTACAACTCAGTCGTTAAAATCAGGCTATTTATTTGCTTAATTTATTTTCAAAATAATACTATTCAATTTTCTTTCTTTAAGGAGATGATTTTAACTCTCAGACTGAGGCTTTATACTTGCCAACTGTCAAAGCCTCAAGAGACAGTGGGAGTGTGAGTCCTTGAAAAGTCTTCATCTCACATGCCATAATTTGCACTTTGTATCTGTTTTGGGGGACTTCAAAGGAAAGTTACAGCATTTTAGCCTTAAGATGAACAGTGAACTCACGGGGATTTATTGGCCCTGCAGCAATGGAAAGCTATGCCTCTACAGATCCTGAAGTTACTGAGAATTATGCTGTCATGAAATGTGGTTTACCACTGTGCAGAGGTTATCTGAGTGCCTCTGATACACTTTGCTTTTGAGCTTACTGTTCCTCAAGGGATTTGTGTTTAAGAATGGCTTTATTACATGTTCCAGACTCAGGAACAGTGCTTGGATTCAAACATCTTGTGGGAATTTGAATAAAAGCTATACATGGTATCTTGTATCTAAACAGTCATCTTTCAGGTGCAGCCATCGTTACATGTCTGTATCCAACTTCCAAACTTTCCAACACATTAAACTGAAAATTACCACAAGTACCCACCAGCATGGCAATATATGGAAGATCTTTCCTATCACAAAAGCAATTAGAAGCTGAAATTAAATCAAAGGATAAAAAAAAAAAAATCCCAACACCAACAGAGTAGATCAGCATTACAGAATCATAGAATGATAGACTGTTACAAGTTGGAAGTGACCTTAAAGATCAGCTAGTTCCAATCCTCCTGCCATGGGCAGGAACACTGTCCATTAGACCAGGTTGCTCCAAGCCCCATTGAACCTGGCCTTGAACACTGCCAGGGATGGAGCAGCCACAGCTTCTCTGGGCAGCCTGTGCCAGTTCATAGTGTAGAATTTCTTCCTAATGTCTAATCTAAACCTCCCTTCTTCCAGCTTAAAGCCATTCCCCCTTGTCCTGTCACTGCACGCCCTTGTAAAAAGCCCCACTCCAGAATTATTATTGCCCATTTCAGGCACTGGAAGCAGGACGCAAAACTGCAGGTGGAGTCTCATGAGAGCAGGGTACAGGGGCAGGATCACCTCCTTTGACCTGCTGGTCACGCTCCTTTTGATGCTGCCCAGCATGGTTGGTTTCTGGGCTCAAGCGCACACTATGGGGTCATGTTCATTTTCTCATTAGCCAATACCCCCAAGTCCTTCTCCTCAGGGCTGCTCTCAATCCAGTCTCTGCCCAGCCTATAGTTGTGCCTGGGATTGCTCTGACCCTGGTGCAGGACCTTGCACTTGGTCTTGTTGAACTTAATGAGGTTGGCACTGGTCTACCTCTCCAGCCTGTCAAGGTCCCTCTGGATGGCATTCCTTCCCTCCAGTGTGTTGACCACAAAACACAGCTTGGTGTCATCGGCAAACTTGCTGAGGGCGCACTCAATCCCACTGTCCATGTCGCTGACAAAGATGTTGAACAAGATCGGTCCCAACACAGATCCCTGAGGGACACCACTCGTCATTGGCCTCCACTTTCACTCTTTAAGTGCAACCATCTATCCAATTCTGAGTGGTCGATGCATCACACCTATACCGCTCCAGTTTAAAAAGACAAGGATGTTGTGTGCGACAGTATCAAATGCTTTGCACAAGTTCAGGTAGAAGGTGTCAGTTGTTCTTCCCTTATCCATCAGTGCCATGGCCCCTCCACAGAAGGCCACCAAATTTGTCAGGCGTAATTTGCCCTTAGTGAAGCCATGTTGGCTGTCATCAATCACCCCCTTATTGTCCAGGTACTTAAGCATAGTTTCCAGGAGGATCTGCTCCATGATGTTGCTGGGCTCTGAGGTGAGACTGACTGGCCTGTAGTTTCCAAGTCTTCCTTTAATCCACACAGGCCTCTTGGTGCTCCTGCCTGACTTCCTTTTTGTTGGGACACACTGCTCCTGAGCTTGGAGGAGGTGATTCTTGAACATTATGTCACAGAAAAGCATTTTAATGCACAATCTATGTGAATCCCCATTAAGTAAGTCAGGTAAAAAGCCATGAACTATGATGCTGTGCTACATTTGAACTGATTACTCAACAGAATTTTCTTCAGAAGGAATTTGGAAGCAAAAGTGAAAATGAAGTTCAGCCACTGTTTATTTTTCAACAGTATTTTTAACTTTTTTCAGAGGAAAATATGAGTCTTTTCCATGCCAGCCACTCATCTGGTTTACTTCCTGTTACTGGAATGCCTAAAATGGCTCATTCAACTCCAGATATGCTGCATGCTGTGCCTAGCTTCTACAGTACCAGATTTCAGAAAACACCAAACAGGAAACAACCTTGCATCGCAGATATTCATCATGTCAAGGACACTGGGTAGGATTTGTATTATTGTTTTCAAAGAACACTGGCTGTGGTCAGCTGTGTTTTCTCTCAAGACAGAGGTAACAAGGTTGAAGAAAGGTGTTCACATGGAAACTACTTTTGTCATTATCTTGCTCTTGGAAGAGTGCTATCTGTTTCACAGAAAAATATCCTGTCAGTAATGTTAAGGTTACCTCTATAGCATTTGCTCTGGATTTAGATGGGAGCTGCTTTTGCTGTGTCACATTGCAGCAATCTGGACCTACAGTGCTGCTATGAGACCAGAAAAACAGCATTTACACCTTCTACTCTTTCACCCAGAGAGCCTATTTTAAATAGCAGGGCTGCTGTTGATTTTAATTGTGGAAGAGAAAAACTGATCTCTGTCATCATCTCTACTTTAATACCTATGTATTGTACCTTTAAATATGCATTTGCAGTCACTGGATTCAGCTGAGACAAATCTGCACAAGACTTGCTATGTCCTTGCTGACATGGCAAATCAGGTAGATATCAGAGAATCAGAAGCAGCTTCTTGAGGCATTGCTTAGCTTCAGATGCAACAGCAGCTTGGAGTCTGCCCTGGCTTGCACCATCTAGCAATACTTAAAGGTCAGTGCATAAGGTCAAGCTATTTCTCCCCATGCCAGATTTGTACTTCACTGACAGCTATGAGTCCCTCCTATCAGCCATGGTGAAAAATCCTACTGTGCTCCTGGAAGGACTTAATTTTGCATTTTTCTATTTTTTTTTTTCTTTCATGTAATCATGAAACAGAAGTAATTAAAACTGAATTTGTGTGGATGAGCACAAATAGGACATCACAGCCTTCAAAATCAGATAACGGTAGTTATCACTGTTCCTTACTGAACTGAAACTCATCCTTATCTTATGCTGCTGAGTAAATGTTGCCTTGGCGTAGGCAGGGAAGAACAGGCATGGGCAGCACTTGCTGCCCATTTTATAGGCATAGAAAACACTACTTTGCTTTCCCTCTTAATGATATGTACACTGAAAGGTTTCACATGGCAGAGACAGCTCAGCTTTGCACAATAATCCCATGCCCTACCCACTCCATTTTGTATGAAAGGTGCAATAGGACTATTTACTGCAACAACCATAACAGTACCCAGAAACGTATCGTGGTTTGCAAGTTTCTATTTTTACCACCTATCACTTCTAAACTACCATTAAAATAAATCAGGATGATTGTGTCATCTTAGTATGCAAAACTTAAGCTTGTCAGCACCTCGGCCAGTCTACATGTGCCTGTGAATTCATGCATGAGTTATTCTTTACTGTAAACCATATGATAGAGGAGTGATATTATGAGTCTCTCTTCTTTCTGCTTCAGCTACTGTTTCATATGCTGTTGTCTTGAAACAGCTGAAGTAAGAGTTTCAGATACAGATACATTGTCTGTAAAATATCTCAAGGGTTTGGCTGGGGCTTTGAATCCTACAGTAAGTCAAACACTGATATTGTTAGATCATAAAATATTAAACACTATGTAATATAAAGCTTAGTCTGTAGGGATTGACTTTAAAACTCACACTCTCAACTGGCATTTTAGAGTGGTATGGGGGATACCTTGCATGTCTATGATCTTTTCTGACATGTACTTCCTCTACTCATCTCCATGTATTTGTCCCAGTTAGAAGAATATCACAAGCAATAGCCTGTTGATGTACTTTATAAAGGTATGGATTCAGTTAAAGTTGGCTTGTTTACTCACAACCCTCTTTCCTCAATGGGCTTTTCCAAGTGAGAAGTGAAATGTCTTTCATGCAAAGTGTGTATTTCCATAAGGAAATAAAACAACCAATATGCAGTAGAAATTTGAAGAGTGGGTTTAAATGCATTTCTTACACACGTGTTTTTCAAGCAGTGGGGCAAGTTGAGTGATTACGTGAGTGTCAGCTAGTGGAGACAGGGCCTTCTGTGGTGAGGGGCAAAATCTCTCTAATCAGAATTTTCGAGTTCTAATTGCAAGGTATATGTTGCCAGCATGTTGTGCTACTGCATGACTGCATTTGCATATGAAATTCAACTTTTTTTCAGGTGAGATGATGAACATACTCTTCTGAGATCTAAAATAGACAGCTGTTGTCCCAGAAATGCTCCAGCTGGCTAACAGTTACATCAAAATTCAAAGGTGACAAATGGTGAAATAACTTTTTCCACCTTGTATTCTCTGAGTGGTAAAGTGAAACCTGGCAGAACGAAGAAGACAGATATCAGACAAGGGACATACAGACCTGACAATGTCACTGAGAATGGAGAAGCTGTCAGTGGGAGATGCAAACAAGGAGATCAACAATTTTTAATTCAAGAGGGACCCAGAATTTTTGTGAGAATAGTAAAGTCAGATGAAGCACTGCGAGCTCAACGAATTTTCTGGTTCATAGAAGAAGCCATGAACTGCTTAGGGGTGCTTCTGTACATCTCCAAAATATTGCAATCCTAGTCCACAGAGCTCTCTTAGACTGCTGAGAAAACAGTCAGCAAAGCAGTTGTAAATTTACTGAGCAAAGGCAACATATTTAGACCTCCACACAAAGGCTTTGATTTTCTCTCTGTTTGCCATGCACATACTTCATCCTCTTTGAGTTACTAAGTAAAATGTAAACCACAGAATGCAGACCTTCTGACATACTGGGGAAGATGTCAGAGATAGAGCCTGCTTCTGGACTAGTTAAACGCTCAAAGCCAGGAACAGAATCTGCTTCAGCAAACTCAGAGACAGATAGAGAATCTGGTGGATTCCCAGCTAAGAAGCTCATTTACACAAGAGTCTAAATTTCGCAGAGCTGGGTGAAGGAAGGTTAGTATATGCTGTGAATGGAAACTATGTCCACCTTCCTTTGTTGGAACAAGTCCAGAGGAGGGCCACAAGAATGATCAGGGGCTGGAGCACCTCCCCTATGAAGATTGGCTGAGAAAGTTGGGGCTGTTCAGCCTGGAGAAGAGAAGGCTGCGTGGAG